CTGAAGGCCTTCCATTGATTATTCATCGTTCACATGCTCGGTGCACAGCTCCTGCCTCTCTGTGCTTGGATTATACATCACATTAAAGTGGAATACCCATATATGCCTGCACTAAATTTTAATCTTTGGCTTCTTGTCATTGGAAACGTTTTCCTTCATTTGAATTCCATTTTCTTCATAACTTTAAAATCTTTAAAATTCCTTTTTTTTCCTTCTTTTTTCTTTTTTGTAGTACTACAGATTTCCCCCCTTGATTCTGTTTCTCTGGTTGTTTGTTTCTTTCTTTAAAAAAAAAAAAGATTTTATTTATTAATCTATTTAGCGCTTGAGTGGGGGGAGGGGCAGAGGGAGACAGAGAAACTCTCAAACAGACTCCCTGCTAAGGACAGAAGCCCAGGCAGGGCTTGATCCCTTGACCCTGAGACCATGACCTGAGCTGAAATCCAGAGTCAGACGTTAACCCACTGAGCCACCCAAGCATACCTGGTTGTCTCGATGGGAATTAGTACTGGGTCTCAGTTTGCCAGTTTTCTTCCTTCCGAGCAACTGTTGCAGTTAACTTCCTCATCAAGGATTTGAATTATATTTTTGTATTTTAATCTCTTTTCAGTCTCTGGTTTCCTTACCATACTACCTTTCATCTCAGTATCAAGACTTTTCATTGTCTTTTTCTCTCATTCAGCTTTGTTAAAGGCACTTAAGAGTCTCTAAAAATATCTTTTGGTCCCTATAAGAAATAATTTTCAGAGCTATGATCCTCTCTAAATATTCAGACTGGTATTTTCTTCAGTCCTTGCTTTCACAGTCTCCATTTTCTATTTTACTTACCTCATGACCTAGGAGAAATCTTTAAAAACTCGGTATTTTAAAGCAAGAGGTTTGTATTCACAGCATTCATAACAGCGTTATTAAATGCTGCGGCGCTCAACATGCACTATCATCAGCGACCTTCCTGTATTTTTCCTACTCTTTGATATTTTACTTTTGAGGAGAAAATGCCCCCCAGTGTTCCCATTATAGGGCTCCTCCTCCTCCCTGCCTCCTACACACCAATTGCCACAGCATGGTTTTCTACCCTTTGTGTCATGTGGAAGTTGCCAGATGAGAGAGATGAAGAAGAAGCACAGAAATAGTACCCTGGCTCCTTACAAAGTCAGTCCTCCAAAGTAAGGGACTGGCTTTACTTTTTTCTAAAGCTCTGAAAAACACCCTAGATTGTCGAGATCATTTTTTTTCCCTTTTAACTTTTGTTGGGGACATGAGGCTGCTGTATTTCATGAAATGGAATGTGGGTACTCCTTGCTGCCATTCTTAACCCAGCTCCATCAACTTTATGGTTTGTGGAAATTCCCTATCAGTTGTTGCTCTTAGTGACTTCTCTTTCATTCTTGGTCTTTCATTTTTAGGGTTGTGTGGATTTTGACACTGTTAGTGTTTTCTGAGGTGTCTATTGAAAGACTGAAATAACGCTGTGTAAGCGTTGTGACTTGGAGACATCTTAATTCCGTCTTTTAAAATTGCAATTTGGTCATTGAAGAAATCATTGTAGAGGAGTAGGGAGAACCTAGGAAAACTGTCTTGAATGCTGATGTTCCTAACCTTTTTATAAAAGGCTGTGTAGATAGTAGGATACATCAGTAGTTTTTTATGAAGCCTCTTATTATTATATTTTAGTCGGTCTATCATCTATATATTTATTTATTTGCCATATTTTAGCTGATTTAAATTAGTGTAGAAGGGACAGTGGGCTGGAGGAAGGCTTGCTGAGGTCCAGCCCAGGATCTGGTACCATTTACCTGTGTGTAGTGGTTCACATTAATTTTAAAAGTGAAAAAAAAATTTCTTAAAGTAAAATGAATCAAGTAACTGTGACACTTTGGACAAGCCAGTAAACCTCTGCTCTGGTTTCTTTATTTATAAAATTAGGGGAAATTTTATAATATTTGCAAATTACTTCATACATGTTTAATTTCATGGCACTATAAAACCAAGTCAGTCTACTAATAATTGACATTTGTACTGTAGTGAGTTCACAAAGAAGCTAGTGCAAAATTTCTAACCTAATTAACTTCTTATCTTTCTGTGTGCATTGGTTTTCAGTTTTGAATTTTAACAAACAAACTCTAATATCTAAGTATTGGTGTTTCTATTTTATTTTTAGCAAAGGTACTTCCACTTACAGAAAATTTTATGATCAGTAGGATTGATTGAAAATAGTGTGTTTGTGTTGAAGCATTTTTCTACCACAGGAGGTCGACACAAATGGATCTTTTTTCATCCATATTCTAGTGAGAGTGCCCTGTGTTAGTTAAAAATTTTCAGACTTAAAAGAGAACAGAAAAACCAAAATCATAGGCCTATGAGGTATATTCAGGGGCAAGGAAGTTCTGTAAACTCTGAGACTATACTCCTATACTCTCCTTTACTTGACCTTATTGTGAAGTGGGGTGAGAGGTACTCCGAGAATGACTCACTAGTCATTCACCTCTGAGGGCATCTGGACCTCAGTCACTCTAGGACTTCATAGAGAAAAGTTATCAAATTCATATCCTTTGACTTTGAAGAAATAGTCTTTTTGTAATTCGATTCAGGTCAGCATTTTGAACCTAGCCATTTCACATAGAGCATTTTACTTAAATCTTGTGATAGTCTCTGAAATGTAGGTTTTGCTATATTTACTTAAAGATGAGTAGATTCAAACTGAGGTAGACTATGCAAATTGCCCTAAGTCATATACCTAATTAGTGGCAGAGCTAAGATTCCATCTATAATTTTTCTGACTCTCAAGTTCATGCTTGTAAACGTCATGTTGAGTCTATCAGGATTCAATTCTTCTGCCTGTAACAGTAACCTAACTACAGTTGCATTACCAAATAGGGTACTAGTTATTGCACATAACAAGCTGTACACAATTGATACACAGATTCTTAAGAAAATCAAGACCCAAGCTCCTTCTAGCTTCCTTTTCTTCCATTGATGGTATTGGATTTCCATCATCTTGTTGCAAGACTGCTGCTCTACCCTCTGGCATCATGTATATTTTCCAAGTGGGAGGGAAAAAATGAAAAAGGAATTACCTGTTATTTAAATTTCATCTCTTTCTTAATTAGAAAAATAATAACCTTTCATAATACATTTCCATTTGTATTATTTGTACTATTTGTATTATTTGTATTATTGACTAAATCTACATTTATGGCTATTCCAAACTTCAAGGGTGTGTGGGGATTCATATTTTTTAAAAAAGATTTTATTTATTTTTTATTTTTTTATTTTTTTAAGGATTTTATTTATTTATTTGACAGACAGAGATCACAAGTAGGCAGAGAGTCAGGCAGAGAGAGAGAGGAGGAAGCAGACTCCCTGCTGAGCAGAGAGCCTGATGTGGGGCTCGATCCCAGGACCCTGGGATCATGACCTGAGCCGAAAGCTGAGGCTTTAACCCACTGAGCCACCCAGGTGCCCCAGGGGGTTCATATTTTAAGTCAAATTTATTAAGATATAATTTACATACAATGAAATTCACACATTAATGTACACAGAGCTATGACCTTTGACAAATTGCATACATCTGTGTAATCAAGAGATATAGAACACGGCCGGTTTCCATAGTGTAGTGGTTATCATGTTCACCACACAAGATATAGAACATTTCCATTTTGAGGAGCAATGTTTACTGAGCATTTTGCCATCTTGAACAAAACTGAGGTTTATTTCTGAAAGGAAGGAGCAGACAATACGAGGTAGGCAATAGGCAGCGTTGTCACATTAAGGTTAAATTTTTTTATTGAGGCTAATTAGCATATAACACTGTATTAGTTTTAGGTGTATGACATAATGATTCGATGTTTGTATATATTGATCACCACATGAAATGATCACCACAATAAGTCTATTTTCTATGTACTTAAATAATGGTTTGGAAAAGCAATACTGGAAATGTCCTTAGGTGAGAGAAGAATTTAGCTATCATTAACCCAGCTTAAAATGGGAACCTGGGTAAATGTCCCAGATCTGTTTATGTCTCAATTTTCTAATATTTAAAAAAAAAAAAAGATTTCAGAAGGGTCTTGAATGTGTCAAAAAATTGTGGTTCAGTGAGTGAGATAATTTATGTGAAAGCACATTGAGATCTGTAAAGCTCTATTCAAATATAAAGAATTGTCTTTTTTCCTCATGATTAGAGGTATTTCCTTTTGAAAATGATAATGAACTTGGCTTACTGGCCTGAAATATCACAGTTGTGAAATTCAAATTGTAAAATATGCCAACTCTTTATCAATGGCTTATAAATCAAGGCAATATGCAGGTCTAGGTAGAGGAATATACATTTGCATTCTTACTAGTTCTCCTTCAAACTGTATCTCTTTCAGTTGGGTGAAAATAGCACTTCATGTATAATTTCCTCAAACTATCAAATATATGTTCATTTATGACTAATAAATTCTTGTGTGATTTTCCAGTTATCACATGCTACTTTGAATGATAAATCTTGACAGTCTTCTAATCAAACAGAAATATAGATTTTGAGAAATTACACTTTTTGTAAAATCAAGTACTTTGAACTTTTGGACTTTTGGGAAGGTCATTTTTAAATTTGTTCTCTTTTTTTTTTTTTAAACAGGAAAACATTTTTGCAATTCATTTCTTAGGTGTAGAAAGTTAAAAATCAAAAACTATTGTGAGATATTGGGGACATTCTAGAACCAGAGCCCTTGATTGCTTGTTATACAGGATCTATGAAGAAATGTGATCTTTTATAGTATTTATTACTCTCAGAGTTTCGATAGAACTCTATTCTGAATTCAAATATCTTGCCAAAATGTAGTTCTTTCTTGTAGACTTTAAACAGAAACAGTGTCAACCAATACCTATCTTTATTAAAAGTAAATGTATTTGGTAATCTGGGATACTCATTAACTCTGGCCAATTTTTTCATTAAAAATTGTTTATTATTATTTTAATTAAGGGCTTTGTTGTTTTGCTCACAAAATTCCTAGGTTGGATTCAATACTGGCTTTGTTGGTCCTTGGGGAGGCTGCCAAACTAAACATGGCCTGCTTAAAAGCTTTAATGGAACTAATGAGAGATTTCCTTTCAAGCATTATGTCTGTTCAAAACCAGGTAACGGTATATTGTTAATTTAGGTGTTTTAAAAGACCTGAAGAGAAACAATTTTTTATTTTTGCCACTACTTAAATTGTATATCATATTAGGGCTTATAATGAGCATAACCTTGTGATAAAAATTTTAATTAAATGTGAAAGTAAAAGCACATTTATCATATATCCCACTACAGATAGATTGATATAGATAGAGATGTAAAGATAGGGAAATAGATTATACACACGCGCGCACACACACACACACACATCAGAAGGACTTTAAATTTTATTAACAAACTTAAGATCATATAGTCATACATAGTTTAGTTTCCAAAATTTAAAATATATTATGAAAGCATTTTTCATTATAATGACATATTATTAAAATTTATATTTTGGTCTGCATAAGATAATTTAACTATTACTTCATTGTTGAATATTGAGTCTATTTCTAATTATTCACAATTAATTGCAAATAATGTTGAGCTGGTATTTTTGTACATAAAATCTTTATCTGTGTTTATGACTATTACTTTAGAATAGATTCATAAAATTAAATTACTAATGATAGACTATGAACTTTTTATAATATTTGTAGAATGGATCTCCAAATTCCTCTCCAGAATATATAATTGCCTTGCTTTCCGATGAAAAATGTATTAAGTGCCGCACACAACAACTGAGCTTTATATAAAAAAAGATTCTTTAAAATGTAATATGGGGAAGTGATATTTCATTGGATTGATTTATATTCTATTGATTACTAAGGATATTGAAAAATTGTTCTTTATATACTTTTTAGCTCTTTTGTATTTTTTATTCTTTGAGCTAGATTTTATGCAATCTACCCATGGAAAACCTGTTTTTTAATAAGTACACTTTAGAACTATTACTTGATTATGGTTCTTTAACAACTGTATAAAATTTGAAGATATTTCTTATTGTAAGTATAGTATATAGTTTTAATTATGACAATGTCCCTTGATTATCTAATAACTATTTTCTCATTTTAGGAAGAAGGCTGCAAGGTAGATGACTTTTCCTGGGCCTGGAATGTAGTCTACATGTATATAACAATTCTTGCAGAAATCTGCTTGTATGCAACCACTTCTAATTTACGAAAAACTGCTTTTATTGGTTTCTGTGTCTGTAAAAGTTCACAAAAAGATATTTTACTCATGAATAAATCAGAAGAACCACCACAATTGAAGGAAGCAAGTATTTTAGGTCTTTTGGAATATTTCTCTTCAAAAATATCAGATAATTGTAAGTAAATTATTTCTCAGCTTGTTGAGAAATATTTCTTAAATGTCCCTGTTTACATATAACAACAAACCTTTTATTTTATTTTATGTTTATTTACTTTTCTTTGTTCTTTTAACCTACATTATTTTATTAGTTTCAGATGGCTAATACAGTGACTCAACAATGCCATATATCATGCAGTGTTGACCACAAGTGCCCTCCTTAATCCCCATCACCTATTTCACCCATCCCTCCAGCCGTCTTCCCTGTGGTAACTGTCAGTTTGTTCACTTTAGCTGAGAGTCTGTTTTGTGGTTTCTCTTTCTCTTTCTTTTTCCCCCCTTTGCACATTTTTTTGTTTGTTTCTTAAATTCCACATATGAATGAAATCATATGGTATTTGTCTTTCTTAGAATTATTTCTCTTAGTATTATACTCTCCAGCTCCATCCAAGTCATTGCAAGTGGCAAGAATCAGTTCTTTTTTATGGCCGAACAATATTTCATTGTGTGTATATACTATATCTTTATCCATTCATCTATTGATGGACACTTGGGCTGCCTCCATAATTTCACTGTTGTAAATAATGCTGCTATAAACATAGGGGTGCATGTATCCATTTGAATTAGTGTTTTTGTATTCTTTGGGTAAATACCCAGCAGTGTGATTGCTGGATTGTAGGGTAGCTCTATTTTTAACTTTTAGAGGAATCTTCATACTGTTTTCCACAGTGGCTGCACCAGTTTGCATTTCCCCCAATGGTGTATGAAGTTTCCTTTTTCTCACCAAAACTTGCTGTTTCTTGTGTTTTTTTATTTTAGCTATTCTGACAGGTGTGGAGTGATATCTCATCGTAGTTTTGATTTGCATTTTCCTGATGATGACTAATGTTGAGCATCTTTTCATATGTCTGTTGGCCATCTGGATGTCTTCTTTGGAGGAATATCTATTCATGTCTTCTTCCCATTTTTTCATTGCGTTATTTGGTTTTTGGGGTGTTGAATTGTATAACTTATCTCTGTTTTGGATACTAGCTCTTTGTCGGATATTTCATTTACAGATATCTTCTCCCATTCTGTAAGGTGGCCTTTTAGTTGCATTGGTTGTTTTCTTTGCTGTACAAAAGCTTTTTATTTTGATATAATCCTAGTAGTTTTCTTTTGCTTTTATTTCCCATGCCTCAGGAGGCATATCCAGAAAAATGTTGCTATGGCTGATGTCAGAGATATTACTGCCTATGTTCTCTTCTAGGATTTTTATGGATTCAAATTTAGGTCTTTTATCCATTTTGAATTTATTTTTCTGTGTGGTATAAGAAAATGGTCCAGTTCATTCTTTTGCATGTAGGTATCCAGTTTTCCCAATACCATTTATTGAAGGGACTTTTTCCCATTGCATAGTCTTTCCTGCTTTGTTGAAGATTAATTGACCATATAATTGTGGGTTTATTTCTGGGTTTTCTAATCTTTTCTCTTGATATGTGTGTCTATTTTTGTGCCAGTACCAAAGTGTTTTGATTTTTATAGCTGTGAAAAACAAGTTGAAGTCTGGAATTGCAATGCCTCCAGTTTTGCTTTTCTTTTTCAAGATTGCTTTGACTATTTGGGGTCTTTTGTGGTTCCATATAAATTTTAGGATTATTTTTTCTAGCCCTGTGAAAAGTTGGTATTTTAATCACGATTTCATTAAATGTGTAGATTGCTTTGTTGTAATATAGACATTTTTTTTTTTTTAATTTGAGAGAGAGACAGTGAGAGAGAGTATGAACGAGGAGAAGGTCAGAGGGAGAAGCAGACTCCCCGTGGAGCTGGGAGCCCGATGTGGGACTCAATCCCGGGACTCCAGGATCATGATCTGAGCCGAAGGCATTCGCCCAACCAACTGAGCCACCCAGGCGCCCTGTAGTATAGACATTTTAACGATATTTTTTCTTCCAGTCTATGAGCATGGAATCCCTTTCCATTTTTTTGTATCATCTTCAGTTCCTTTCATCACTCTTTTATAGTTTTCAGAGTACAGGTCTTTCACCTCATTGCTTAGATTTATTCCTAGGTATTTTATTTTTTTGCTTCAATTAAAAATGGAATTGTTTTCTGAATTTCTCTTTCTGCTTCTTCATTATTAGTGTATTGAGATGCAATAGATTTCCTCACATTGATTTTGAATCTTATGACTTTACTGAATTCATTTACCAGTTCTAGTAGTTTTTGTTGTAAATATACAGTATTATTTCACCTGCAAATAGTGAAAGTTTTACTTCTTCCTTACCAATTGGGGTGTCTTTTATTTCTTTTTGTTGTCTAACTGATGTCACTAGAATTTCTAATACTATGCTGAATAAGTGGTGAGAGTGGACATCCTTATCTTGTTCCTGACCTTAGGGGGAAAGCTCTCAGTTTTTCCCCACTAAGTATAATATTAACTTGGGCTTTTCATATATGGTTTTTATTATGTTATAGGAATAAACCTTTTACAGAAAATTAACATTTTGAAGTGGGAAACTATTTTAAATTTAGTAGGACTTTTTACAAATTTGGGAAGAATATTTTATAACAGAAATTTTTAATTAACAATTTTAAAACAACTTAAATATAAACTAGGCTCAGTTGATTTATTATTCACATTATATTCCTGGAAAACAAAGACAGCTTAGGAAAATTTAGGAAATATATATAAAGTTTCTTTTATTAATTTCCACATTAGGACTTCTCCATCTATCTTCTCCATTTTCTCTAGGTATCCACTGTTTCTCTTGTTCCCCTGCATTCAGGGGATTTCTCTCCAATTACTCAAATATTGTAGTACATTGTAGTATATCAGTAGTACATCTGACATTTTATACTCCATCAAAGTACACCTGTTTTACCTCTCAAAACTAAAGGTCATTTTGATATCATTGTTTATGGGGGCTATTAGAATAAAATACTTTTATTTTTAAAAGAGTACTACAGGGATAATATTAATTCAAGAGCTTCCTTTTAAGATAACTAGACCTTTACTTTATGAATATCATTGTAATCTATATATTATTATAATATATTATGTAGATAATTCTCACTTCCATTAAGTTCTGAGATAACTGAGATGAATCATGTCCAAATTATATTTGTGTAATATAACATCTAAAACATAGTAGTTTGGTGGTTAATAATAGTGGATTTATTATGTAATTAAATCACTGAATTTTAAATATAATTGTAAATTATTTAAAATATAAATTTTATTTATATTAAATTATATATAATTTATATATTATATATTGATAAATTATATAATAAATTATATAAAATTTATTTATATTAAAATTTATTTTAAATATAATTGTAAATAATTTTAAATATAATTGTAAGATTTTAAAACTACAGGAAGAGTATTGTCTTTCTTCAGAACCATAATTCACTGAGTTGGCATAAATTATGCTTGAATATAATTTTAAATAGTAACAACTTCATAGGAGATATTAATTTCATTTTTAAAAACTTGCTTGATATTTTAAAATTATTTTCAGTACACTTTTGGTTTAAACAATAAGTTGGAACCTATCATTTCTGAGTGCAACTTGCTTGTCCTTTTCCAGTTCATAGAACAATTATGTATATTTTATTTTTTTTTAAATATTTTTTTTAAATTTTATTTTTTATAAACATATAATATATTTTTTTCCCCCAGGGGTACAGGTCTGTGAATCGCCAGGTTTACACACTTCACAGCACTCACCATAGCACATACCCTCCCCAATGTCCATAATAACCCCACCCCCCCTCCCAAGCCCCTTCCCCTCAGCAACCCTCAGTTTTTTTTGTGACATTAAGAGTCACTTACAGTTTATCTCCCTCCCAATCCCATCTTGCTTCATTTACTCTTCTCCTACCCCCTTAACCCCCATGTTGCATCTCCTTTCCCTCATATCAGGGAGATCATAAGATAGTTCTCTTTATTTTTTATTAGTGTCAACTTTGCACAGATTCCTAGTTTTTAGTATACAAATTAGCATAAATATCTCTCCCATTTTTATAATATTGATTAAGTGAAGAGGTATGCACATTCTTAAGTATTTAGAATGATCAGAAATCTTCCTATACAGCAGCTCAATATATGATTTTAATCTGCCACTACCAGATTTGTCTACAAATCTTAAGTTTTCAGGTTTTTGTCTAGCTGTTCTTTAACGATTCTCTTCAGTGATGGGTCCAATAGACATTTCTCCATGGGGAGGATCTTTATTCCATAAGCCTCTTGGCCTCCTGCTGGCCATAACCCCTGAGTGCTGTCATAACCTCATGATGACAGGGTTGCATCTTTCTGCAGATACTCAAAACTTTTTCCTCCTCAGCAGTATGATTTCTTTTCCCCAGCCAGTTGATGATTTCATTGCATTCACTTGCTCATTGCTGATCTTCTTTGCAATTTCTTATCTTCTCCTGAATAACTTATTTTGAGGGTATAGGAACAGAATTTGGGTGAGTTCTTAGAAGAGATTTTTGTCTTTCTGCTTATGATCTACAAGTTTATATTGCTCAGCTTCCTGGACAACACCCCACAAATTGTCCTAAGTCAAATGTTATTCTCTTTCCCTGTAATTGTTTCTCTGTCAACTGCAGACCTATTGAGAATTTATGTGACCTTTCTTCCTTCTGAGCAATGCACATATTATAGAAAGCTATTTGTGGACTTGAACTTGCCAAACATATAGTCATCCTTGGTCATTGTTTTCTCATCTTTATAAATCTGAATGAGCACACTTGTTTCTGCTTTATATGAATTCACTACCAAGGGAAAAGTATGACATCTAAGAAAACGCAAATTCTGAATATTTTCATATATGACCATAGGTGAGATAGCCATCTGGATCCATTAGTGATGATTTCATTGAGATCGATACTTTTGTTTAATTTCTTGTCATTGAGTCAATCTTATAGGAGTTTCTGAATCTCATTGTACCAACCAACATATAGTTTATGGATCAATAAAATAAAATAAAATAAAATAAATATTAAAAATATATAACAAATATATAAATA